CCCGAACCCTCCCCGGCACCTGTGAGGCCAGGGCTCCCCCTCCACTGATGGAGGGAATGGAGGTCCAGGATCTGCAGGCAGGTTGGGGCCACCGTGGCCGTGGGTATTTTCACTTGACGGATACTGCGTGAGTATGTCACGAGAGCCAGGCTCTGTTTAGGCTGGCGGGCACTTGGGTCCACAGATCAGGCCTGGTCTCCAAGTCAGATCGTTCTAGAGATACCGGGCTGCCTCTGCCCATTCCTGCTCCGATTTCCCACTGATAGAAAACAGGTCTCAGATGCCCCCCTGGAGCCTGGGCAGGAAAGTACTGATCCAAGAAGTTGTCTCTGGGGCTGGCAGCAGTGAAGGTTCTCCAGGAGTCCTGGCCATGGAGATGTGGGCTGGGGCCCCTCTGCTGGCCTCTGGGTTTGTCATCCTGCAGCGGGCTGCCGCGTAGGAGCCACCGTGGGTGCCCTCCAGGGCATGCCCCCTCTTACTAGCAAACCCAAGCTGTCACTTGGTCACAATGGGGTGATGATTCAGCCCCACTCAGTGTGTGAACTCATCGCTGTGGACCAAGCATCGTCTGTGATGTGTAGAAAGAGGTGACCCACGAGGAGAGTGGCTGTGTGGGAGTGCTCACCGGCCACCGCGGTCACTGCCATGGTGAGTGATTCATTGGGCGGGTTCCTTGCAGCAGCTGATGGAGAACTGAGGCAGCCCAGGGAACCCCAGATGCCTCTCCCCGCAGAACCCACTGGCGTCTAGAGCTGGAGAGCAGTTCAGTATTTCAACGAGAAGCAATGACAAAGAAAGCCCGATTGTGGTGAGCACCCGGTCCTCCGGGCAATGGCCTGGCTTCCTCGGGGTGATGACCGCAGCCGGTGAGCTAGGGCAGACGTCCCTGGGACGGTGGCCGTGTGCCTGGAGGACCTTCTGAGCCTTGAAAAGCCTGCGCATGTTTGGAACAGACTCTGAAAGTCGTTTCAGGCCACAGCCCTTTGCTTACAGGCTGCAAAGACTGGTCCCAGGGCCGGAAGCACGTGTGATACCAGCATCCCTTATGAGCACTGGTTTGAGTCCCAGCTGCTCTACTTCTGATCCCACTCCCTGCTAATGGCCTGGGAAGTGCTTGGGCCCCTGCACCCATGTGGGAGACCCAGATGAAGTTCCTGGCTCTTGGCTTTAGCCTGGCCCAGCCCTGGCTGGTGCGACCATTTGAGGAGTTGAACCAGAACATGGAAGATAATCTTTGTGTGTGTGTGGTTCTCTCTCTCTCTCTGTAACTCTGCCATTAAAATTAAAAAGTAAGTTAATCTTAAATAAACATTTGAAAAACGTGACTTGATTGCTATTTTGAGCTCTTCCCCGCATTTGGCCAGAGCTGAGGGGTGGCGGTTATAACCCTTCCTGGCCACACGGGGGCAGCACCTAACAGCACCGGGTTGCTCTGTGCAGCTGTGTTCTTTGTGGAGGAGTTGAGTATTCCCCCTTACACCTGCTTGGTTCCTTCTACTTTGGCTGCATGAAATGGCAGTGAAGTTGGCAGATCAGAAAGTGAAGCAACGGTAGGATTGCACAAGGAAAATTATTTTAAATAAATTCATGATTATAATATAGCTCAGGCCCTTGTTTTTATCAGCACAGCAAGGCAGTATTCTCAGTGGGCTGTGGTGGGGTTGAGTGGTTTGCATTTCTTCGCCAAGAAGGATGCTCTTGGCCGGTGCCGCAGCTCACTAGGCTAATCCTCTGCCTGTGGTGCTAGCACCCCGGGTTCTAGTCCCGGTTGGGGCACTGGATTCTGTCCCGGTTGCTCCTCTTCCAGTCCAGCTCTCTGCTGTGGCCAGGGAGTGCAGTGGAGGATGGCCCAGGTGCTTGGACCTTGCACTCCATGGGAGACCAGGAGAAGCACCTGGCTCCTGGCTTTGGACTGGTGCAGCGCCGGCCGTAGCAGCCATTTGGGGGAGTGAACCAACAAAAGGAAGACTTTTCTCTCTGTCTGTCTCTCTCACTGTTTAACTCTGCCTATCAAAAATAAATAAATAAATAAATAAAAATAAAAGGATGCTCTTGGTTTCCCGTGAGCTTGTTTAGATTGAAATCCTTGTGTGCTTGGACTCCAGTACTGCTTTTACCTTCCTTACTGCTAATGACTTCTTTTGTGTATTCACAGGCTGTAGGGTTTCCTAGGAGCAGTTAGAGACAGTGGGAAGTGTGTTCCCAGCTTCTGGTGTGGGACCAGGTATGGGTGCTTCGTGTGGAGGTCAAGTTAACGCTGGGGATGCCGCATCTCACACCAGAGACCCTGAGCATCTCCTGGCCAGCTCCCTGCTTCTGCACACTGGGAGGCAGCGGATGATGGCTCAAGTGTTTGTGCCCCTGCCACCCATGTGGGAGACCAGATGAAGTTCCTGGGCCCTGGCTTTGATCTGTTCCTGGCTGTTGTGGGCATCTGGGGTGTGAACCAGCAAATGGAAGATCTCTCCCCCCCCCCCACCCGCCCCCTTTCAACTGAAATGAAAACAACAGCCGAAGTGCGCGACCATCCCACAGCAATGCTGGGGACTGGAGATTCGCTCTGCGGGTAGCGCCCTCTGCTGGCCTGGAGCTCCATTTCCACTTGGGCCTCAGCTTCCATGCAGGAGATGAACCTGACTGTTGGGAGCATTTGGGGTGTCAGTGCCTGCAGCTTCACCGACACTTTGGGGCGATCATAGTCACTGTTGGGAGGAAGCATTCCCAGTCATCCGCCAGAACTGTCATGGGGGAAATGGGGACAGGCGGGCACCGTGTCACACATCTTCTGTTCCTCAGCTTGTTCCCTCTATAGATGTTCACTGACACGCACAGTTCTCCCTCTGTATTATTTTGTTTCCTCTTCATAGACACCCTGGGAGGCAGCTGTTATTATCAGCACTCCCATTTAGCATAGTTACTATTATGTTATTATTATGTTAATGGGAGTGTTATTATCAACACTCCCATTTAGCATAGGCCTTAGCCAGGGTCTTGCCCACGGTCACAGTCGCGGTGAAACAGGGCTCAGTCTGGAGCCCGGGCTGCCCCTACCCCTGACCATCTGTGCTCTAACCTCCGTCGATACTGCCCATGCAATCTTGAACCTTCCTGTGGTCCAGCCCCATCGGATGCTTTCCCCTCCATGTGCCAGCTTTTTGTACCTCACTCAGTTTCCTCGTCTATAAAATGGGTACAGGCATTGAAATGAGTTGTTTTCTGCATCCAAGGACAGCACATGTTGTGCCTGTTTTCTGCTGTGGGTGGAGGGAAGAATATAAATAACTGCTCTCTCGGTGGAGGGTAGCCAAGTTAACCCGGCCAGCAGGGCCAGCCTGGGACACTGGGATCTTGCTGACCAGGGGTGTTTTGGGATCCAGCGTGGGTGGCAAGGGCTCCTTCACGGTCTCGGCCCCGGGAGTCAGCGGTTTAATAAAACAAGGAGGCGGCGACTGGCGCATACCTGTGTCCCATCTGCCGTGTCCATTGGGGCTGTACAGTGAGGTCTGGGGCCGAGGGTGTGGCGCCACAGCAGGGGCAGAGCCAGGCCGACAGAGAAGCATCTTAGCTGTGGGCAGAGGCCGGTCGGTGCCTGCGCCAACAGCAGGTTCCCTGTAGCGTTTCCCCCTTGTGCAGGGGTCTGCGGGGCTCTCCAGAACCTTCCTCGGGGGCCAGGGACCACCACGTCCTTGGGGTTTCTTTGAGCAGGGCGCTCGCATGTGTGCGCTGTCTATCCGCGTAGCCAGGGCCGGGGAACGTAGTTCCGCAGCCTCCCCAGGGTGTGCTGGCTGCTCTGTGGGCCGCTTTTGCCCTTGGTAGTTGGGTGGGTTTCCCCGTGAGAAAGCGTGATTGGCACCTCTGGAAGCAGATGCCGGGCCCTTGGTGCTGGCAGGTGTGGAGAGGAAAACGGTGAACCCGACTCCGTGTTGGTCATGTCTGGTCCCTGCTTCCTGTCGAAGTTCTCTTGGAGATGCTACAAGCTGCTGTTGGCGAGCCAGTCTGCTGGCGGAGGTGTGGTTGGCTCCCAGTCTGCCCTCCCTGTGCTGGGAGGGTGGCTGCCCCCTCTGTTGGTGGATGCACTGCTGGGGAGGGCCCCCAGAGGAAGAGGGCCCTGGCTGGGCTGCCCCACAGCCTAGCAGTGCTGCCAGTCGGCACAAGGCAGAGGCCTTGGCCAGGGCACCCGCACGTGTGCTCTGAACTCCTTTCCCTTGTGTATCTTTGAATTTTCACCTTGCTACACTAAGTATAAAATGCTGTTTACATTAAATTAAAGGGAAAAAAGTTAAACAACAACTTTAAGATGGAAAATGGGGCCATGCTTTCAGAATAGCTCCAAGTCTTATCTATGGTGCGATCTACACCATAGATCTACACCCTGACACCATCCTAGACTCTAGGAGTCTAGGACACCATCCTAGGCTCTAGCCCCAGCCGCCCTGGGAGGTGGCATCTCCCACCTCCCTCGGGGCAGCAGGCAGCTGGGGCCTGAGACCTGCGTGATGCAGGCCGAATGCATTCCCCACCACCACCACCACTTCTTCCTTCCTGGGTATTGGAGAAAACAGTTTCCTCCGTCCCTTGAGAACCAAGTACCTAACGTGCATTTAATCTGTGTTCTCCCTATTTCCTGTTTCTGGGCACTTAACAATAGCAGGTCTCAGAGGGTTACATTTCTTACTAAAAAACAAGATACAAAACTACAACCCTAACAGGTGACACGTGATAGGGGATGAAAAAATGTAGAAATGTTGTGCCAGTTCATTAGCTCTGTCACTGTAAGCTCTATCACTCAATCGTAAGAAAATCTTTAATACACGTACGTCAGTTACGCAAGAAGTTTGTCCCCCTAAAACAGAAAACCTTTTTGACTTCATCTTCCGACACGTTGTTACCAACGTTGGACGGCTGAGCGTGGCGAGACAGTGAAAGGCGCGGTTTGGCCCACATGGATGCAGACGGGCCCGGGCCAGCGAGTGAGCCCGTCTTCCGGCTTTATCTTGCAGTGTTTCGCTGTGCGCTCGCTGGGGTGGGTGGAGATGGCAGAGGAGGACCTCGCGCCCGGGAAGAGCAGCGTTGCCGTCAACAACTGCATCAGACAGCTCTCCTACTGCAAAAACGACATCCGCGACACGGTCGGCATCTGGGGCGAGGTGAGTCGCGTGACAATCTCCCAGTGGGCGGGCAGGTGCCCACGCCCTCCCATGGCACCGCCTGTCGACCTTAGAACGGGGCTGAACTCCACTGACAGCCGGACATTCCGATCCCAGGCAGGGGGAGAGAGAGGAGGAGGAGTGTTCTCCTGTCCAAGCAAAGCCCTGTATCCCTCCGCTGTTGGGCTTTACCGTCTTCTCACCGCATGGCCTCCCACCCCGCACCTGCCACCCGGACTCACCCAGGCCCAGCTTCCCCACCGAGTCACCCACGTGTCTTCTCGTTCCTTCAGTCAAAATGCTCTTGCTCCCAAAGCACAGTTCTCAGTCAGGACCGAGAAGCAAGGTCGCTGTAGTTTATACTAGCACGTGAATGACTGACATTTGGAGGGGCCTTTGGTTGGAGGCACCACACAGCCTGTTGCGCTTGGCTCTGTGGAGTCTGGAGCCTTGACACAGTCTACACAAGCTGTGTTTGTGGCTGGCGCTGTCCTCTGTAGATGGCTTGGCCACCCTTTGGGGGAGAGTTGAGAGCACGCTGGATCTCAGCTACAGCCAGCGGCCAGGGCTGCACCTGCTCTGAGAACCTGTGTTGGGAATCTTTATCACCTCTCTCCAAAACCACCCCAAAGAGCCCTTCATCGGGCCTCACTTTGGGATTTGAAGACCCACAAGAATTCTTCCCGTCCTGCGCCGCTGGACCTCCCAGCTTCAGTGCTGTGGTCTCATGGCTGCCCGGCAGAGGTGTGAGAATTTCTCAGAACTGCGCCTGTGGGGTTGCCAGGAGGCGGGACGAAGGCCAGTCCGGGAAGGCCTGGGTGGGTGCGTGGTGGGCCCGGCCGGAGGGAAGGGCAGAGAGCGGCTGTAGGCATCTGACAGGCGTGGAATTAGTGAAGCGGCCGGTTCTCCCGGCGCGTCCCGTGATTCTTTGCTCTTCAAGAGTCGCAAGTGTAAATCATTGGAACTGGGAGCCGACTGAAAGGCAGCCAGGGGCATCCGTTAAAGGGCCAGGAGACAGACATTGGGACTGGGAAAGAGGTTTTTCTCTTAAGAAAACGAGTGGCAGGCCTGAGGGGTGGCTGCTTTTGGTGGTTGCACAGCGCCCCTGGATGGCCAGACACGCATGCGCGCGCGTTGTGGAGCCAGGGTGCGCGTGCCAGACGGCGTGTTTCTCGTTGCGTGCAGGGGAAGGACATGTACCTGATCCTGGAGAACGACACGCTCAGCCTCGTGGACCCCATGGACCGCACGGTGCTGCACTCCCAGCCCATCGTGAGCATCCGCGTGTGGGGCGTGGGCCGCGACAATGGCCGGTGAGTCCCTGGGCCGCGGCCGGCGGCCGCTCATAGCTTAACTCCTCAGTGTGCTGTCCCGGCACCTCCCCGGGCACGGCACCGGACGGAGCCTCGCGGGGACAAGCGGAAAGCATCGCCTGGCTTGTCTCTCTGCCTTGCCAGCCCTCCCAGCCGCTGCACTTCCGGCTCCTCCACCCCACCCGCACCCTGCTCTCCTACGTCTTTCTCCCCTGCCCGCCCTCATTCGGCCAAGCCGCTAACCGTCCCACAAGTCCAGACTTCTTATTTTCTCTTCTCGCAGCCTTCTAACAAATTCCTTTCCATGGCATTCGGTGGAGTCTCTGCCTTCTCGCACCCCCTCCTGCCGGGGTGTCCCTCCACCCACCCACCCCCCGCGGGCTTGCCTGCTCTTGGTGCCGTCAGTAAGCGCAAACCCTGGGTCATGAAACGATGGTGACCAGGAATTTCCGGGGTCTGGGCTCACCAAATGTTTTTCAAACTCTGGAGATGGCTGGTCGTATCGTGACACCATTCAAGTGTGTTTCCGTGTGATGTGTGAGCACGCGTGTGAGGAGCTTCCTGGATGTGCTGTGAATTTCTGTGGTCCACGCTGAGCGCGAAGGAGGACGTTCTGATTCTCAGGTGCATCTCCCAGCTAGCAAAGCGACAGCGACCCCACGCAGCCTGCTGGGAGACCATCCTTGAGTGCCTGGGCTCTGTTAAATGCGGTGAACCTTTAAGTTAGCAAGCAACCATAGCCTTTCTGCAGGTGCAGGAGGCGGAGCTGTGGGATGAGGAGTTACGGCTCTGCTGAAGGTGCAGAGAGAGCCCACACAGCTGAGCTGTGGCTCTTGTGGCTTGTGCTTCCCGTCCTGGGCAGGCAGGGGTTGTCTTGGCTCCCTGGCCCTCTGGGAGGAGGGTCTGTCTTTGCTTATCTCAGCCTTTCTCTCCCGAGGCTGGGCGTGGGCACATTTGCTTGTCTTCTGATTCAGCCCCAAGTCCTAAACCAGAAAGGAGGGGTATGGCTGAGTCGTCATCAAAGAACGCATGTGTGCTGGAACCGGATGTGAGAGATGGTTTGCAAAGGAGAGAGCTGAAGTAGCCGGTGCTAGCGGATTGGTTAAACCTCCTTGGGAGCACAGTGTGACTGTGAGCGTCCTGCGCACTGATGCGAGGTGACAGCTGGGCCGTGCTTGTGGGGGGAAGGAGTGCACAGATTATGCACGCAGACCTGCGGTTCCGTGGCTCGGCAGCTGCCTTGCTGTGGACCGATCGATTTTACAAGGAAGAATCTGGTGATGTTTGGTCGTTACTAGAGATGTTTAGCCTTGGTCAGAGATCCTGGGCGTAAGATGCTTAATTCTGTCCTGGCCGCTGTCCACCACATTTGTTTTCAAGGCAGGAGCCAAAGTGGCAGTCAGTACACACACCTTGGTGAGCTTGTATGTTCTTACTGTGCATATGTGTACATACATGTTGAAGGGCTTGTGTGTGCTCAAGGTACACACATGGGCACACCTTGGTGGGCTTGTGTGTGCTCACGGCACACACGTGTATACCTTGAGGGCATCTAGCCCACTCCAGCTCTTTAAAATGAAGCCAGACCCTGCACAGCTGGGATGGGGGACTGATTGAGACTCCAGTAGACGAAATTATTCAGACTCCAAGGCTTTGGGGACAGTGTGCGTGCCTGGGGTATGCCGGAGGAGGGGCTGCTGCAGACTCTAAGGCTGGTTGTCCTGCCCCCAGTGATATCAGCATGTATTAGCTTACATTGCCTTGGTTACACTTTTACAATTCGGGCCTGATTATTCATGTTTGGAATCACTTTTTCTGCTTGCCCAGTGTTAGCAGCTAAGTGTCATTTAGAAACACACCCAGGGTTCACACAGGTGTCCCGGCCCGCGGCCACCCCACTCTGGGAACCAGCAGTAACTAAAGAAGTGAGTTTGCCAGTGCGAGGTTCTGCTTCTTGCCGTTAGGCCCCCGAGCTTTCCGTCTGTACAAGAAGGGGCCTTTGTATTCCTGCCTGCCTATTTTTTGAATGTTCCTTTCCTTTTGATTCTTTTTTTTTTTCTTTTGTAACAGCAATTTACTAGAGCAAATGCAATTTGTACGGCTGCAGAAGAAAGGGGTCCCCACTTTGCATGAATAAAACATGAAAGTGTTTCATTGTGCTTGGGAGAACGAGCCCATTCGCCATGCCCTTTTCTCGCTGAAAGAACAGAGTCTCTTCAGGGGTTTCTTGGTTGGTTAAATGAGCGAGCAGAGTATGGATGCCAGGCTCGAAAGGCACAAACCCCTCCTAAAACCCAGAGTGCCCACGCAACTGCCAAATTTATAAGAGTGTTTGGGGTTTAGCGTTATCTCAGGGCCTTCCAGTGTTTTGGATTTGCTTTGGAGAAATTCCTGGTGGGTGAAGTTCACTTGGAGTGAAGGATGTCCCCCCACTGAGCCCCAAGGTAGAGTGGGGAAGGCTCTTGTTATGCACCGTGCAGAGAGCTGCAGGTGCAGGTCCTCTGTGGGGCTGGGCCCCTGTAGGCCTGGGCTGGAGTTTTGTCTCCTCCTTGGGAATCACATGATCTGTCTGCTCCACTGCTGGGCACAGTGGGGCCTCCTGCCTTCCCTTGGCCCTGTTGGTTCCTGTTGGCCACAGTGAGTTCAATGCTAAGACTCCTAGAGATAGAGACTGGTGACAGGGGTTTCCTGGCCCTTGACCTTCTAATCAAATGCAGCCCCACGGTTGGGTCAGGTTGAAGCCAGGAGTCAGGAAACCCATCCTGGGTCTCTCACATGGGTACAAGGGCCCAGGCACTGGGGTCATCTTCTGTTGCTTTCCCAGGCGCATTAGCAGGGAACTGGATTGGAAGTAGAGCAGCCAGGACTCAAACTGGCACTCCTAGGGGATGCCAGTGTTGCACATGGGGACTTAACCCGCTGTAGCACAACACCAGCCCCCAGACTTACTTTCTAAACATGGGAAAGTCTTAACAGGGACTGCCCTCTTCCCTTGCAGCAGATGGGGGTCCATCTGCTGGGGAGGGGACCACGATCTTTGTGTCCCTTGGCCAGCAGATAGTAGAGTCCTCTCCCTGGGTGGGAAGTGGGTGCATGGATTTGGTAGAGTGCCTCAAACCCTGTGAACAGGCCTGCCTGGGAGGCTCCTGTGTCGACCCACCATACAGGGTCACCCAGGTGAGCTGGTTGCAGACTCTGTGAGGGACAGCAGTGGGGGCTCTATGTGCTCAGGACCGCCCCGCCCTCTGTAGGCTTCTCTGCAGGGAGCCCTGCAACCTGCAAGAGGTCACATCCCAGGCTGGACCATCCTCTGTCCTTCATGGAAACGCGCACCCAGGGAGCCCACTTTGGGAAATGCTACTCTGGCTCACCAGCTCATTAATTCAGATTAGTGGCAACACCAAAGTGCTGTGTTGTTGATTAAGAAAAATGTGACTTGCTTTGGATAAATAAGCGTATTATAAACAGAGACCCCATCGGGTCTGCTCCAGTGAAGATAAAATTCCTTTATAATTAACATCAGCCATCAACAGCTGCTATGCACAAGTGCTTTTTTTTTCTTTCTCTCTTTTTTTTTTTTTTTTTAAGATTTATTTATTCAAAAGGCAGAGTGAGAGAAAGAGAATCAGAGTTTTCCACCTGCTGGTTTACTCCCCAAATGGCTACAACAGCCGTGCTGAAGCCAGGAGCCTAGAACTCCATCTGGGTCTCCCACGTAGATGGCAAGGGCTTAAGTACTCAGCCCATCATCTGCTGCCTTCCAGGCACATTAACAGAAAGCTGGATTGGAAGCAGAGCTGCTGGGACTCACAGGTGGCAGCTTAACCCACTGTGCCACAGTGCCCACCTGTAAAGATCACTTTCTTATTTGGGTTAAATGTTTACCCTGTGATGTTGTTTATGCTTATGTGTATATAGCAAATCAGCTCCTCCTAGAAGGTGTTTTATCAATCTCTTTTCTGTTTTTTTTTTTTTAATTTATTTTCCTCTTACTTTAAAGGCAGGGGAAAAGATAGAGATCTTTTATCCACTGGTTCGTCCCCCAAGTACAGCAGGCAGTTGCCAGTCCCCCTGGCAACAGACAGCCCAAAACCAGGAGCCCAGATCTCAATTTGGGTCTCATACATGAGTGGCAGGACCCCAAATACTTGAGCCATCATCTGTTGCCTCCCAGGGTGTGTGTTAGCAGGAAGCTGGAATCAGAATCTGAAGCAGAGCCTGGATTCAAACCCAGGCACTCTGATGTGGGACGCGGGGGTGCCAAGCTGTGTCTTACTCGCTGCGCCAAGCGCCCGTCTTCTCTGGTTCTGAAGAACGTTTTTCCTTAGATCCTTCTGCGTAGTTAGGCATACATTTCCAAACAGGGGATCTCTGCGTGCGTTGTTTCCTCTGGGTCTGCCCCCAGGGACTCTGATTAAAGGGTGCAGTCGGTGTGCCTTGCATTGCATGTGTTCCTTGTGTTCCCTTCTCCTAGGCTGTGATGTTCCCAGCTGGCCTTTGCCACTGAGACCGTGGCTCAGGTCGTCTGCACAGGCTTCTGCCCCACGTGGCTCTTGCTCTTTCCTCCCTACCAGTGCTGTTTTCTTTGGAAAACACTGCTTCATTTGAGGGTAGAGGGTGAGAGTGCTGAGTTACATTGGGGCTAATTATTTAAAATATGCAACATGTGTAAAAGGTGATTTGGTACCCAGTGCCGTTCGGTCTCTGTGAAGGGATAAGGTGGCTAAGGACGCTGGAGTGAGCTTTGCTTTGGATGAGCTGTCTCCTGTGTGGCAAACGAAGAATCATCTTCAAGGTGGTTTCATGTGTCTGGACAGGGAGCCACTGTTGTCCCTGACGAGAGATGACAGGTGGCCTGAATGACCTGGGCCCGGCAGGGTGGACATGCGTCGATCTCATGGGCTGAGCGTGTGCTACACGGCAGCAGGGAGCCAGGAGACGGTGATGGCCTGGCACTCTGCCTTGAGAACCTGGCTTCTCCATTAGGGAAATCAGACCCCGGGAGCACACGGTAAGCCGAAGTCGGCCAGCTGTGTTTCCAAGGCGGGTTTTGTGTGGCGCATGAGTTAAGACTAGTTTTTTACAATTTTTAAAAGATCTGCTTTTTATTTGTTGGAAAAACATGGTGACGGGGATCTTGCATCCACTGGTTCACGTCCTAAATGACTGCAACAGCCCAAGCTGGGCCAGGCTGAAGCCAGGAGCCAGGACCTCCAGCTGGGAATCTCTCCCACGTGGCTGGCAGGGGCCCAAGCACTTGAGTTGCCCTCAGCTGCCTTCCCAGGCACATTAGTGGAGAACTGGATCGCAGGCAGAGCAGCCGG